AAGCAGTTAAACATTGCTGTTGATACGTCACTTTTAACTACTTTCGAATGGAGAAACGCGACGAGTCCCGCCTCCTTGTACGTTTGCTTCAAGTCCAGCAGCAGCAGAAGACCTTCTGAGGCAGCGGCCTGTTCGGGTTGCCGTTTCGGTACCCCCGATCCTCCAAATTGCGTGGTTGTTGCGCCGCGCCCATCGATGCCGCCACCATTCGGTCGAAGATCACTGGGCCTTGACGACTGGGGTCCATGCTCCACTGCCTCTCTTGACAGGCCGGTCTAGGAAAACATGTCTCGTCATCTGCCTCGCTCTGATGGCAACGCAATTTGACAGCACATGCCATTGAGTCTGGAGTTGGGCGGTGCGCGAGTTTGGCCGACAGTCCCGGCTTGACGCCCCAGCTTCCGGCCGCACAGAGATCGCAACAACCGCCACTTAGTCCGTTCTCTCGCCGTCGGAGGTCTCGTATCCCGGGCTTGGGCGTGACTAAGAGAGCAGACTCCAGCCACAACATTTCTCTGCGCCAGAGACAGTTGGCTTGACACTTTGTTTTTGCGACTGTCGTCTGCTTGAATCGCATAAAGCACACCGAACCTGAACCTTGTGTTGCCATAGCTGCTACCAGCATTAGGCAGGTGGCCGGAGAAAATGAAAAAAAGACTCAAAGTAAAAAAAAGGATAATTAAAAGTATAAATATGGGCCAAAGGATACGAACTTAGCCGAAGAAATAGGCAAATGTAGCAAATGGGCATGACCTATATGCCAAATTGTAGATTTGCGAGAACGAAGTGAATTTACTTTTACCACAGGCATCAAAAGATTCCGAATTATCTTTATACCCATCTTAACCCTCATGCTCAATATCATCATAGATACGAAGAGAAACTTGGTTTCGATGAATCTCCTGAGATAACATTGTTAGGGGACCTCCATTTCGTATGAAAGTGCATGAATAAGAGATTCGTTGGTCAATCTCACCAGATGAGGACGGATGAAACTCGTTGTACTGCAGCCGTTTGACTTTTAGATGATATTCATGTTGACGCAGTCCAAGGGACTTCCTCCCTCGTTTCGGCATGTTTTCACCCGAAACGAGGGAGGAAGTCCCTTGGACTGCGTCAACATGAATATCATCTAAAAGTCAAACGGCTGCAGTACAACGAGTTTCATCCGTCCTCATCTGGTGAGATTGACCAACGAATCTCTTATTCATGCACTTTCATACGAAATGAAGGTCTCCCTAGCAATCATTATCATCAGCATTAAAAGACAAAACGTAATATTGAAGTGCAGACATAAAGACAAGTTGAGTTTGTAATCAGTCTCCTTTAGCCGTATTCTGTTGGTGTAATCTCGTCTTCACCACTTGGCAGGAGGAAAAGCCATTGTGAAGCATACACATTGTTGGTGCGAGACCCAACTTCTGCTGAGGCTCGCAATTCGCAGTGATTTTGACAGGAAGCTTTTGGAATGTACAAAGTATCCTTAATATTGAAGGTATGAAGACCAAGATGGTATAGCCTT